ATCATTTAGAGTGTGAAACCATAAAAGAGACACGGGAGATACTTTGTCACTTTGGACTTGGGGGATTTCTCTCTTTTCCAGGGTTGACTTTCTAATTCCCCTGCTCATTTCAAATATTCTTGTTAGGGATGGGACGTAAGGTATGAGGCCCTAGGTTTCTCAAACTACCAGGCTCCCATGTGGTCATTGTATTTCCCATGGACCTGAGCATCCAGTTCTGCATTCCATGAAGCACTGTGCCAGGCAAGGCTGTCCTCTCGGCAAACAGGGGCACTCCAGGAAAAGGATGTGATAGCGCATGCCAAACTGTGGTGCTGGAGCCTTTTATTCCTAAAGGAGATGATCCTGTAGGACTAGTGTTTGGCAGAACACAGTACAGAATCCACTGTCTTCTCAGTCTGAGAAGATGTGGTGATTCCAGTGATATTCTGCACAGCTTCAAGAGCATCACAAGAGATACAGACTCCGATTGCAAAATTACTTTTGGTTGTAAGGGGTCATTTAAATGACTCACCCCAATGTTCTGGGAGCCACGCTGATCTTCTATCTAACATATCTCTTTAAGACTCTAATGATGTGGCTTCTTGGCCCTCACTTCACAAGTACACGAGGCAGAAATGGTGGGAAAAGACATTGTTTATGTGTGTGTGTGTGTGTGCGCGCACGCACGCGCATGTATGTGAATAAACGTGTATTATATATGCGATGTTTATAATGTATGTGCTTGTATGCATCTATATAAAATTTGAACATCAAATATTTCCTAAAATAATTACAAAACAGGCTTTCAAGCTTCGGCTCTTTTCAAGAGCTGGAAGCACCATACAAATAATGTAGCTGAGGTCTGTAGTGAGGAAGGAACATTTCCCATTTCATACCAGAAGTTAGTGTTAGATTGAGGACTAGATCCCAGGTCTATGGACTCTTTGTTTATGTTTAATAATAGGGCACTCGATGACAATTCACAGTAACCAGTTAGGGCTCTTCAATGCTATTTGACTCCACCAAGCTCATCGCTTTGGTCTGGATAAGCCCTGAGGTCCCTAAGTCACCATTTCTGAGCCTTGGTTTCCAACCTGACCTTTCTCTGCCTGCCCCCTCAGCACCGGTGGCTCGAACCAACAGTCTTTGAAGTCCTGGTGCAAATGTCCCCCCACCCTTCTCCAAGAGCGCTAACTAGAAGCGCTTTCTGTCCTTAGAGCTTCCCTCGTGCTTTATCTGTTTCCTACTTAACAAACATCTCTCTCTATCTTGTATTTAGTTCTTTACAAACTGATTTTATCTCTCGTCCTGGACTCTAAACTCCTCGAGGGTAAGACCTGTGTCAGATTTATTTTTAATTCTCTCAGCCTCTATCACAGTTCCCGGAATGCTGTAGCTTCTCAATAAATATTCATTGGATGAATAAATGAATAATGCACAAACACCATGGTCAGGACAATCTTCGTGGCTATTTGTCATTTTCAATCATGAAACCACCGTATCTGTAAGATGGATTGGTTCCTAAATAAAGCTGTAATTTCCTGAGCAGAGTGGATTCTGATCCTGATTTGTGAAAGACAACAACTACGTTGTTTAACGTTGTTAAAGTGTAAAAGCAAGGAAGAATGTTATGCTTGACAACTGTGCTCTCGCTCACTCGCTCTCCCTCTCTCTCTCTCCCTCCCTCCCTCTCTCTCTCTCTCTCTTTTGGTAACAGATGTCAACCTCGGTTAGATTCAACTCAACTTATTAGTGCATGGCTTTTAGCCAAAAGCAATTCACATTTGCAGAAGTATACTATCACATATGTCTTAATAACAGAAATGTGTTTTTAAAAAAATGTATGTGATAAGTCACATATGGTTGAAGAAATCTGTACATCTCTCAGGCCTTGTTGTCACAATGAAAGCTTGAAGATAATTGCTGCAGAACATTAACATACAAGTGAAAGTCTCTCTGACACATTAAAGAGCCACAGTTTGAACATACTAATCAAGCTTTGATACCGGCGCGGCTCCAACAGACTGAGAAATACACCAGCATCTCTTGTCCTGATCACTGATCTTAAGAACATTCAATTTTGATTCTTACCCTCAGAGGTAATATTTAATGTTTCAAGGTAAAATCATTAGTGTATCCAGATACATTATGTGCTTACATTCACTAAGTATATATTTAATTTCTCCTTTATATGGAGTGTAATTAATGTGTACCACAGTCTCCCTATGGTGATGAAAGTGGCTTACAACCATGAAGGTATTAAAAGTAAATTGAACAAGTGGCTGAGAAATAGGGAAGAGGAAGCAAACCTTTAGAGAGGAAAACAGGCAAACTAAACGGATATTGTGACTCATTTACCATCGCTCTAATGGAAAGTTTGCTCAGCCTGAGTTAGATCTTGGGAAGTAACAGAATTTTAGAATGTGCCTATGCCTTTTGCAAGCTATCCATCCACACAACTTGGAAGACTAGCAGTAAGGCTCTGGCTCTGTGCTCACTGGTTTCCGAGGCATCGTTGCCCTGTCAATGGCTCTCATATCCATGATGACTTCAAAGATAGTAAATTTGGAGTGGTCTCTTTGCTCTGAATGAGAACTGTGTGGTACATCAGCCCCAGAAAGTCCAGAACACAGGAAAAGGGCTCAGCCAATGCTTCCTCAATGGTTTAAAGGACAAGGGTGTGTGTGTGTGTGTGTGTGTGTGTGTGTGTGTGTGTGTGTGAGAGAGAGAGATAGTTTAACCCTTACAGTCAGGGAAAAGTGCACCTTTGTGCCTTTTTCTACCTGACCAGCTAGAGCATGGGTCGGCAAAGGTTTTCTGTGACGGGCCAGATAGTAAATAGTTTCCGTTTTGTGGTTTGTACAATCTCTGTCGCAACTAATCTCTGCCACCATGGCACAAAAGGAGCCATAGATAATACGGAAACAAATGAGTGTCGCTGTGTGCCAATAGAGCTTTTTTTATAGACACTGAAATTTGAATTTCATATAATTTTCATATGTCACAAACGATTCTTTTCATTTCTTTTCCCCAACCGTTTGCCAAACTCTGCACCAGAGGATGACATCCAATCACACATATGATCATCTGCACCAATCTGTGTTCAGGCTTTAGTTGTAAATGCCTCCAGACCTCGACTTTTCCAGCAAGACTGTACACACTTTCCATTGTATGCTCAATCCCAAACGTTAATTCTGACATACAAGAGCAAGCCGGTACCTGGTCCGAGGCAGAGCAGCGAGAATGAGCCAGAGCAGAGCAACGTGGGAGCACTTTACACGTGGCATGACTCAAGAATAGGATAATGGATGACTTGATCAGTTACAACACATGGGCCCCTCCGATCTGACACTCTGGCGTGGGGCCACCAGTCTCTCTGGGATGTGTCCAATTTGTTCACCTGTTCATTCATTCAGGAGAACATGTATTTGGGGTCTCAGTGCACCCCATGTAACCGAAATTCTCGGTCAGACATCAGAAACACAAAGAGGACCACGATACGTACAACTTCAAAAAACCCCGCTTCTGCTTCTGCTCTGCTGTCAGGCAGTGTTCACGAACCATGCTCCGGGATTTCTGTCCCTGAGCTGAGGTCTTGAAGAGGTCTTCTTCTTCAAGTGCCCAGTGGTGGTGGCTGGGCAGGTGGGGTAGCTATGGTGAGCCCGCATGCAGCGGGACACCCAAACGCACACTGAGAACAGTACCTTATTCAGTTAGAAGACAATTCTAAACATCTACCAGTTGATCGCAACTGAGGCTTACTACTGAGCAGATTTTCAAATCTATTTAAAGGTAAAATGCTCTGTATTCTATTACTAATCATTTGGTTCTTCCAGTTTTCCTGTTTTCTCTTTATGATATTCCTTAAAGTGCTAGACATTAGATAGAGTCTGCACTGTGAATTAACCAGAGCTCATGAAAAATACAATTATCTGTAGGGTCGAATCCTCACAAGGAGCAGAGAGAAAACTGGTCCCACTTCAGGCCACTAGAGTCTGACCTCACGTAGCCCCGTATACTACCGATGGGCTGTCTTGTGCATGCCAAGATGGAGCCTGAGACTTACTTCCCATCAGGAGGGCTTGAACTTGGAGATGTTTGTCCCACTGAGGGCCTGGGTTTACACTCCTCCAGCCCTTGCCCCATCCCTTGTGACCTGGGACACACATCTGCACACGGGAGGACTGGAGGGAAGGGTGCAATCGGACTAGGGAAAAGAAGATCACTAATGGCCCACCCAGGGACCAGCACTCCTGGCCTTGGCCTCATTAGCACCACCCTCTAATCCCGCCTTCAGGGCACAGACAGAAAAGAAATCAGGCTGCAGAGAAGATTTCAACCCCAATGTCACAAACCCAAATGACAAGACAAATGTCCTTTCTTAATTTGAAAGTCTCCCTTCTGGAAGAGACAGGATGTCTAAGATGTACTGTATTTAAAAGAGTGCTGTGCTGCTTGTTTATAATTTAAGAGTGCCCCATAAAACGCCTTGGAAATAGCTCTCCGTTAGCTAGAAAAACCTTTGGTTAGATATATTTTTATGAGCTTTTCATTAACAGAGTACCAAGGCCTTGATGCCAAGGTGCCAAACCTCCCCACGTGGCTGGAAATCACTTGGCACATTTTCAGCCATTTCAGTCTCTGTCATAGGTCCAAGATTTGCAATTAAAAATATAATCTTTTTAGCATGTGCAAGACCCAAAGGCTTGAAGTACCATGCACTGGATAGGATTATAATAGTATTTGGCAGCTCTTCACGGATGGCACATATTAATTTATGTAAACTGGGCACAACTTGGGGCACTTCCTCATCAGGACCACAGGAAAAAATCAAATCAAAATAAAAGCTAGTCCTCGCTCAATTGGAGATTTGTGTTTTGTGTTTTGGTGGTTTCCCCCCTTGTTTGTTTTTGTTTTTCGATCGTCATAGAGATGAACTCAAAATTCAAGGTCTCTTTTGCGACACACACACGGAGTCCATTCAAATTAAAATTCCAACAAATAAAAAAATAACTTACTTCACAGGATTATTCTTAGGTTTTGCCTTTTCAACAGCCTGTAAACAGAAGAAAAAAATGCAATTAGACAACATTAGCAGGCATAATCTTCACAACTAGTTATCAAAACAATAAGCAGTATAAAACGCTCTTCCAAAACATAAGGACCTAACTGAAGCAGGCTGCTTGCGATAAGCAGATTAGAGACACAGGGAGCAATTTTCCTCTCCCAGGGCACATGGTTACCTGTCCAAGTGCAGCTTTCAGACACAGACATTCATTCCTCTCTCTCTGCCTTGCACTCAGATCTTAGTCCCTGGGTGGGCCTGCCTGGGTTGTTATGACAGGGTGAGGAGGCAGGTGCGTGGGGGGTGGGGGAGGAGGGATGATCATGGGCACATCTAGGACTTCTAGATTTGTGGTGAGGTCCCGTTTACCCTGTGTGACTCCTGACACCTGGCTGCACCTGCATGGTGAGAGCAAGGCCAAAGTAGCCATTTCTAAAATCATTTTTATTAGCGGACACCACAAAAGGCCAAGGGATGGCCGAATGCTCGGATCAATCTCCTCCTGTGGAACCTTTAAGAAAACACACACCAAATCATCGAAATGAGGAAATCTCTGGGCCTCTCGGCCTGTGTCGCCTTAGACATGGAGCCTGGTTCCAGTTTATTGCTGAACCCATTGATCTGTGTACAGTCCATTTATCATTCATGAAAAGAGCTAGTGATCTTCACAGTATATTAGAAGAAACAACTCAGATCATCTGTCAACAGCCCTCTTATTTCTGTTTCCCTCTCCACAGGGATTGCATCTCCTTCGATTCTTCTGGAATTAAAATGTTGCTAAGCAACACAGCTGGGGGCGCTGATGGCAGAATGGCTACAGTCTATCAAACTGTTTAAGCACCTGGAGGGTTTTAGTGATGATTTTTTTCATACTTCTGTAGCATAATTATGTAATCAGAACCAAACTTGTACTCTCCTAGACTTTTGCAGACTATAGAAATAATATTTAAGACAGAGAGTGTCGAAGCAGTGGTTTGGCAATCTCCAGGATCTTCAGACCCTTTTAATAAGTGTCCATTCGGAGACGTTTATATTTGTGACTCCTGGAGGTGAGCAACGGCAGCTATTTTTAACACCGGACTTAGCATTCTGGGTGACCGGTGTGGAAGTAAGTGCCCCGGACCCTTCTGTGTACAACAACAGCTCAACGCATTCCGGAGCCATTTTTTAAAAATAAATGAAAAACTTCTCAATTTTAGAGATTAGCGTTGGAAATTCAAGTCCTTCTATTAAATACCGGGTTCTGTTGCTAGGTAAATACCCATTAATATTTGGGCACTTTCTTTGGCTCTCAGTGGCAAAAATCATCTTCTCACCATCTGTGCCTGAGGTTGAATTTTGGCAAGAGGTGGAACAGCAAGCAAGCAAGAGTGGGAGGTAACAGGTGAAAATGATCAAACAAGCAATATGTGTGTGGCCGGCCCAAGTCACGTCTCACAGGTAGTTAGAATACGAAAGTCTGTCCCTAAGCAGGGCTGGCCCCGGGAAGGATGAGGGAAGGAACAGGCGGACCCAGTCTGCCCACCCGTGCACACCTACACCTTCCTTCTCTACCACCCTTTCTCCCCTAGTCCTGGCTGCTTTGGAATGGCGTATGGTAGGGGCGGAAGACATGTCACTGTGGAAATCACAGGAGCCCACTTTCCCCTGCCCCTTGCAATCCAAACGAGTCTGTTCCTGAAGACTTAGCTTATCATAAAGTCACAAGCATGGTGTTCAAGGGGTTTCCTTTGAAAGCACACTGGATGTAATAGCATGAGCATGCCACTGGCAGAAGACAGGGAGGGAGAAATCACAGGGGCATTGCTTACCCTAGCTTTCACTCAGTGACAAGGTTTTTGAAAATGTCTTCTCTTCTCTGTGCCTCAGGACTGTCAATTAGACCCAGTTAGTTTTCTCTGATCAGGAGAAACATAATCACGTTCAAGGTCAGTCTCTTTGAAACCTATGTCTTTTCATACAGCCATCATAGGAAAATAACTTCATTCAAATGAATGTTTTCTGGGCTCCTTGGCTATTGATTGAAAATGTCTCTGCTGAGAGGTTCTCTTTTCTTTGGAAATTAACTCGGGATCATTCCAGAGTGCCAACAGCTTTAGTAAGACGTGCTCACGTCATCCTCCTGTGTGCTCACCACCTTTCATCTCTAAGCTAAACGGTCACAGGGAGTCTCTGCCAGACCCGAGACAGAGCTCGCAATTTGTGTTCTTCACTTCCGCTATAATGCGACACTGTGTTCAGCCCGCTATAGACAATTATTCAACTCAGAGACTTCGAAGGAAAGTTAAGTGAATTATTTGTGGGAGAACTATATATGTCTTTAAGGTCTAAGAAGTAGTCTACAAAAAAAAAATGCAAGGAGAACATTCCTCTTTTGAGATAACGGGATATGAAAACACCGATCCCATGTTCTGAAATGTTCAAAAGGAGGGGAATCAAAATGATAGGGTCTCGTGTAATTCATCCACATTAAGAGGGTTGCATATTGGGATTACAGCTCATTTTGAGTTCAAAAACATACATTAAAGTAATTTAAACTGATTGGAAGATGGAGGCTAGATAGTTAACACTCATGCTGCTTTAATTTGCAACATCTATATGCTTTTTAAAACCTATATTCTACTTATTTTGTGCCACGTTTCCCTAACATGATACTTATCTTGCCATTAAGGAATCTCTAGCATAAAAAAGGATGATACGATAAATTAAAATGTTAGAAAATAGATTCCACTGTGGTGTGGCGAGAGGCTGCAGGCTACAGTGGAAAGAGTGATGAGCGGGAAATCCAGAAACCCGGGTTTGGCGCCCAGCTTTGCTGCTTACTATCATCAGGACATTAGCAAGGCGGCTGACACTTCTGAACCTGTTTCCTCATTTTAAAACTGAAGATAATCATTCCTGTGCCATCTATACCAAGGGTGGGTGGGAGGAGCCAACATCCACGGCGGTGCTCTAGAAACCATCGTGCGCTATGTAAATTCATTGCCTGCGGACCGTGCTTTCGGGCTTCAGGGCACACGTCTGCACGGTCAGAGAGTTTATGGGCTTGCTGACTTGGGGACCGGTTGCCGTATTGAACCCACGCAGTTATTCCAACGAGGATTACAGGAGCCACTCTGTTCCTCTCTCCATATCAGGAGCAGTTCTGGGCTAAATAGAATGTTTCTGTCTGGGAAGTCTTACTCGAGGGAGATCTGGATATGTTCAGATCCTGACCCGCCTAGGCCAGCAGGAGAGACCCCTGTGCCTTCACACAGGCCTCTGCCCTGGACCTTCTCGGGGGCTGGTGCAGGTGCATATACTCAAATCTCTCTGTCTCCCTCTCTCCCTCTCCCCTACCCCTCCTCCACAAGGAAGCCTAGGAAGCCTCCCTCCTTTCCAGGTGACTCCTCCATCAGTGGTCCCCCCTTTCACACCTCAGGAGGAGGGCACTTTGCTTTTTCACTAACATTTGACCCTGAGGTTGAGAAATCCTGAGGTGAGCCTCCTTGGTCATATGGCATCTTGAAAAATTACATGCCCAGGGAGAAGGCACTTCTCTCATTCCAAGGAGTGTTTATGAACTGATTCTTCTCTCATTACTAGCATTGTACTATTCATGGTATCCTGCTAAGCAGCAAATTTATTTCCTCAGGAGGGATGATGTGGCTAAGGACATGATCATAGTCGCTCACTCATTAAATCTATCTTTCTAAAAATAAGAAGGTCCTTGTCTTTCTGTTATGCAGAGAATCCTCTGGCTCCACTGAAGCCTAAGCGACTCAGAGACTATACTGAATTATGTGAACCATAAAAACTATAGAGCTATCATGAGAAAATATAGAAGGAAGGAAGGAAAGAAAGAAGGAAGGAAAGAAAATGGCTATCTATTGAGTCCTGCCCTCCACAGCAAACATAACATCATGTGTTTTTAGGGAGAAAATGCTACATGTAATCTATGGACAGATCTAACTTAAAAAAAAAATTCTTTGGTAATTCTGTCCCAGTTTTATTCTAATCCAACAAACACGTATACTACATTTATTTTAAAAAATGAGAGAATCTTGGGGTGCCTGGGTGGCTCAGTCAGTTAAGCGTTTGACTCTTGATTTCGGCTCAGGTCATGATCTCGGGGTCCTGGGCTCAAGCCCCGTGTCCAGCTCCACACTCAGAGGGGAGTCCGCTTAAGATTCTCTCTCTTCCTCTCCCTCTGCCCCTCTCCCTGCTCACGTGCTCTCTTTCTCTCTCTCAAATAAATAAATAAGTCTTAAAAAAAATTAAAAAATGAGAGGATCTTTTTGGGTTTTAAGAAGCATGCCCTGAACCGTGGTATCCAGACTTACCATAATACCTTCCCCCTGCCCCCATATTGGCAGAAAACAGACCCAATACAGTATGTTTCCTCTTTGTTGAGACTGTCAAGGTGAGCGCTTGGAGGGCCTAGACATATTGTAGCGGTGGACTCATTTTACAAGGCTATGTATTCAGGTGCTGCTTTTTTCCTTAATCAATAATAATGCTGCCAGTCAAGCATAAATTGTGATTCTACTAGCATTGCTCTATATAGCTTTTACCTTTCCTGCTTATGTTTTTTTCCCGGTGTTCTGCTAGCAGATGCACCCAAGTTGGGTCTATACAATACATTTCTTTTTTTTTTTAAGATTTTATTTATTTGTTTGACAGGGAGAGACACAGTGAGAGAGGGAGCACAAGCAGGGGGAGTGGGAGAGGGAGAAGTAGGCCCCCTGTGGAGCAGGGAGCCCGATACGGGACTGGATCCCAGGACCCTGGAATCATGACCTGAGCCCAAGGCAGACGCTTAACGACTGAGCCACCCAGGCGCCCGCAATACATTTCTTGATTAAAAAAAAAGTGAGAAGTCCATCATTCAGGTAATTTTAAATAACTGGACATTGGGCACTATGGACATGAGACAGAAGAACAATCGATTGCATTGCTTTTGAGTTTCTATGTTTTGCCTTTTTTAACTTTTCACAGGGCTGTTCCGTGAG